CACCTGTATCTTCCCCTACAGGTTCTGTTTATTACGTTCAGATTATGATTTACTTTTTTCCCCTACTAATATCACAGCAGTGATTATGGGTCCATCTGTGAGTCAGCACTGATACCAATTCGTCTCATTACAGCCGATGCTAACTTCATTCACCTGGCTCAGGTGCTCTCGGCCAGATTCCTTCACTACTTAGTTATTTTTCTCTTTGTTGTTAATGAGTATCTAGGAGGGAAGATTTACTGAGAGATGCGTATAAACCATCATGTCGAATCCAGAGACTCTCATTACTTTTTAGTTTCCCTTTGCTTGTAGGTTGCTTTGGAGAGGCTCTCACATTTGTTGACTGTAGATCCCGGTTTTTGAAACTAAGTTCTGAAACAAGCCTGAGCTCTGTAGGTTTCCTTTTATTTTACTCATATCACAGCATACTCTCCTTATTCTCTGTATTTTCAGAGAAAGATGATAATTAACATGTAATTAATATGTCTATTATCTTAAAATTCTAAAATATAACACAGCACATAGAATAAATAAAACAAAAACTTTGGGGGAAAAAAAAAACCAGACTCAGAGACACAAGCTCTTATTTTAATTTATATCATTGTATGTATTGGTTTTCATAGTTTAAGAAACAGTAAAAGGGGTCATTCTCGAAAAGTTTTATAGTTTTAACACAATTTAAAATATTTCCTAATTTTATTAAGAAATGTCCTGTCACTTATCATGTGTGTATAGTTACCGTTTCTATGTACATGTGTGCTTATGACGTCAGCAGCATTTGATCAGTTTTGTGTTGCTGCCTTCCTGTTGTCATAATTCTCAGTTATGACACCTGCTCTGAACATTCTTTTATGGTTGTCTCTGCATTTTGGCCTGCATGTCCCTTTAAAATGAATTCTAAGTTAGATACTGGGGTAAAATACAAGTTCTACTATGTACTAGCTATTTGGCAAAAAAGTTTTTTTCAGGCTTGAGTGGGGAGGGTTGGCAAGATATTTTTATGTAAGAGGAAGAAAACAATTATTTCTCACATAGATTATATTTATGGCTTTATCAATACGTGAACAACTTTTAGGATGACATCTAGTATATAGTAAATGTTCAAAAAGAATTCTATTACTCTTGCTATTATGTTATAACCTGTAAATTTCATAAAACTCTCAATTCCACATCATCCCTGAATTCTTTCCTCAGTGTTCTACCTCTCTACTATTCAAAAGTGTGGCCTCTGGACCTGAGGCATTGGAATCACTGATGAGCTTGTTAAAAATGCAGAAACTCTGGTCATTAGAGAAATGCAAATCAAAACTGCATTGAGATATCATCTCATGCCATTTAGAATGACGATCATTAAAAAATCTGGAGACAGCAGATGCTGGAGAGGATGTGGAGAAATAGGAACACTTTTACACTGTTGGTGGGAGTGTAAATTAGTTCAACCATTGTGGAAGACGGTGTGGCAATTCCTCAAGGACCTAGAAACAGAAATTCCATTTGACCCAGCAATCCCATTACTGGGTATATATCCAAAGGATTATAAATCATTCTATTATAAGGACACATGCACACGAATGTTCATTGCAGCACTCTTTACAATAGCAAAGACCTGGAACTAACCCAAATGCCCATTGATGATAGACTGGACAGGGAAATTGTGGCACATATACACCATGGAATATTACACAGCCATCAAAAACGATGAGTTCGTGTCCTTTGTAGGGACATGGATGAACCTGGAAACCATCATTCTCAGCAAACTGACACAAGAGCAGAAAATCAAACACCGCATGTTCTCATTCACATGTGGGTGTTGAACAATGAGAACACTTGGACACAGGGAGGGGAGCACTACACACTGAGGTCTGTCAGGGAGGAAATAGGGGAGGGACAGTGGGGGGATGGGGAGTTGGGGAGAGATAGCATGGGGAGAAATGCCAGATATAGGTGATGGGGAGGAAGGCAGCAAATCACACTGCCATGTGTGTACCTATGCAACAATCTTGCATGTTCTTCATATGTACCCCAAAACCTAAAATGCAATAAAAAAAAGGAAAAAAAAGAGAAAAAATACAGAAACTCAGTCCCAACCCCAGATATTCTGAATCAGAATCTGCATTTGACCAAGTTCTCCCATTTATTTTTGAATACAATAAAATTTGAGAAGTATGCCTCTAAGTCACCATGACTTTTCCACCTGAAAATTACACACAACTGATTGTGGATGATGTAAATATAGCTCTCAAAAATGTATATTCCTATGTTGATCCCCTAGTTTTTTGGTTCTTTTGTTTGTTTTTGTTTTTTGAGACAGAGTTTTGCTCTTGTTGCCCAGGCTGGAGTGCAATGACGCGATCTTGGCTCACTGCAACCTCCACCTCTGGGTTTGATTCTTCTGCCTCAGCCTTCTGAATAGCTTGGATTATAGGTGCCCGCCACCATGCCTGGCTAATTTTTTGTATTTTTAGTAGAGGCAGGGTTTCATCATGTTGGCCAGGCTGGTCTCAAACTCCCGATGTCAGGTGATTCGCCCACCTTGACATCACAAAGTGCTGGGATTACAGGCATGAGCCACTGCGCCCAGCCCTGATGCCTTAGTTTGATATTTTATATTCCGTATAGGCATAGTATCTACACTGGTTTTGTGGATCTTACGTCATTCTCTTTCCACAGAGTTAGAGAATACATTAGAAAATATTACTGTGTTTAAAAGTATCTTATTATTTCAGGCCACTCATATAAATCAGAGTCAGTTCTCTTAACTCTCTTATTTCATCTTGGGTCAATGTGTTAATTATTTTTATTTCAGGGACTGCTGACATTCAGGGATGTGGCCGTAGAATTCTCTCTGGAGGAGTGGGAACACCTGGACTCAAATCAGAAGAATTTGTATGGGGATGTGATGTTAGAGAACTACAGAAACCTGGTTTGTCTGGGTGAGGATAACTTGGCTTTGGAATGTCTAATATCTAATAACTAAGGGTTTTATTTCTTTCCTTTGTAGAATGTCTCTTGGGAGCTTATGCTTTATATGAATGAACTCAGATTCCTGCTTCTAGGAAAAAAAAATTATGGGTTTGTTGTAGAAAAAAAACTTCCTAATGTTTGATCTTGGCATTTGCCTTCTTTCTTGAGGTGATATACAAACTTCACTCTGGTTTAGTGGTGATTCTAGAAATTGAGTGGTATAAACTATCATTGCCCACAGTTTAAAATCCAATTCCTTCTCCTTATTTTTGATTCAGTCATACTTGGAAGTGAATCTCAGGATTCCCATATTTAAAATGCTTCCTAAATATTCTAAAGAAGCTGACAGGAAACAGTATTTGGGGAAGTAATTTTCTGTATTTCTATAGGAAATTTTCTATATTTCTATAGTAAATTTCTATGGGAATCCTCTATAATGTCCCCTCTTTACTGAGTACCCTACTGATTTGGCAGTTAAAGAACTCCCAGCAAGAGTCATGTGACTTTTTCTCATAAAACAGGTCTTGCTATCTCTAAGCCAGACCTGATCACCTTTTTGGAGCAAAGGAAAGAGCCCTGGAATGTGAAGAGTGCGGAGACAGTAGCCATCCAGCCAGGTAGGCGGGAGTGAATGAGTAGATGACATGGGTGAGAGGTCCAGAGGTCAGGAAAGAACCAGACATTGAAGTGTGGATTGGGAAGTTCTCCAGTGGAAATGATTTTTTAGATGCATAAGTTTATTTCTCTTGCTGTCGTAGAGGGACATCTTCTGTCTCATGCTTTGAAATTATCTAATGATTCTCCTTCACCTTCTGTGATCCACCATCAAATTTCACAGTGACAGCCAAAGTCCTGTGAGGCCTGTGAGGGCCTGCATAATCTAGCTGCTCTTCCATTGATTTGGGAGCTCTGGGGAAGTCTGTGCATGTTTCTACCTCTATGTGAAACCACTTTTAAAGTTCCGTTTTTGCCTCATGTAGAAGTGTGTGAGGGCAGTGATGGAAAGTGGGATTTCTGTTAGAAGCTGCAGGAATTCTGTGGACAGATGTCACATATTTTCTGGTATTTGAATTTCTAATCCTACAGTGGTTTTCAAGATGATCCTACAAAAATTGAGACTCAGTAACTTCATCAGAGCACAAAGCATTTTCCTAAATATAAAAAAACTGATCTTGTATTTCACTTCAACTTTCCATCTTTCCTAGCCTAAACTAAGATTAGAAATATAAGCTCTACATGCACAAAGTCCACAGATATAAAATCATTTAATATGTTACTATGTAGAATTCTTTTGTTTTTTTTTTGAGACAGAGTTTCACTCTTGTTACCCAGGCTGGAGTGCAATGGCGCAATCTCGGCTCGGCACAATCTCGGCTCACCGCAGTCTCCGCGTCCTGGGTTCAGGCAATTCTCCTGCCTCAGCCTCCTGAGTAGCTGGGATTACAGGCATGTGCCACCGTGCCCAGCTGATTTTTTGTATTTTTAGTAGAGACGGGGTTTCACCATGTTGACCAGGATGGTCTCGATCTCTTGACCTCGTGATCCACCCGCCTCGGCCTCCCAAAGTACTGGGATTACAGGCGTGAGCCACCGCGCCTGGCCAGTATGTAGAATTCTTAACTAAATGAATGTCTGTGGGGAGCTTAGAACATTGCCCAGTATATAGTAACCTCTCAACTCTTACCTTATAAATTAATAGTATCTTATAATTTTGTCTAGATAAGTGTGAAGGTTAATGATAATGTGTTCTTTATGTTCGTTTTATTTCTTTTCCTTTTCTTTTTTCTTTTGCTTCCTTCTTTCATGTGGATTTTTTTCCCCACACTTGTAAATTATATATATTTAAGGGATACATCCTGATAATTTGATTTTATATATGTATATGTTGTATAATGATTAATACAATGAAATTAATTAACACATTAATCATCTCATATAGTTGCCAGGTTTTTGTGGAGAGGACATTTAAAATCTACTGTGTTAGCAAATCTCAAGTATACAAGAGTATTGTAAACTGTATTCACAGTGCTATACATCAGATCCCCACAATTTATTTATCTTTTAAATGAAAGTTTGTACTCTTTGACCAGAGTATCCCCATTTTTACCACCTCTCAGCTGTGGGAACCTATTGTTCTACATTTTGCTTCTATGAGTTCAACTTTTTAAGATTCCACAAATAACTGATACTATACAGTGTTTGTGTTTCTCTATCTTATTCATTTACCATAATGTCCACCTGGTTCTTTCATCCTTGTTGTCAGAAATGGTAGGATTACCTTCTTCATTATGCTGAATAATATTCCACTATATATTTTGAATAATCAGCTATCAACATAGGGGTACAGATATCTCCTTAACATACTGATTTTATTTATTTATTTTTGAGATGGAGTCTCACTTTGTTACGCAGGCTGGAGTGCAGTGGTGCCATCTTGGCTCATTACAACCTCTGCTTCCCTGGTTCCAAGCGATTTTGGTGCTTCAGCCTCCTGAGTAACTGGGATTACATGTGTGTGCCACTTCGCCTCGGTAATTTTTTTGTATTTTTAGTAGAGATGGGGTTTCCCCATGTTGGCCAGGCTGATCTCAAACTCCTGGCCTCAAGTGATCTGCCTGCCTTGGCCTCCCAAAGTGCTGGGATTACAGACGTGAGCCACTGAGCCCGCCAGATTGTATTTCTTTTAGGTATATACTTAGAAATGGGATTGAAGGTTCATATGGTACTTCTGTTTTTAATTTTTTGAGGAGCCTCCATCCTTTTTCCCATAATGGCTGGATCAATTTACATTTCCACCAACAGTGTATGAGGTTTCCTTTTCTCCACAGTCACCAACATTTGTGATCTCTCGTGTCTTTGATGATAGCCATTCTAACAGTATGAGGTGATATCTCATGATTTGATATCTCACTGTGGTACCTCTCTGTAAATGTGAGATGATGTCTCATTGAGGTTTGATGTGCATTTCCCTGATGATTAATTATGTTGAGCACCTTTCTTAAACCTGTTTGCCACTTTTATGCCATCCTTGGAAAAATTTCTAATCAGGTCCTTTGCATATTTTTAAGTCAGATTGACTATTTTTGGCAATTGAGTTATGTGAGATTCTTATGTATTTTGGATATGAAACTCTGATTAGATAGAGTTTCTCCCAGTCCTTAGGCCGGACCTTAGGTTGCTTTTTCCTGTTGTTCTTTGTTTCCTTTGCTGTGCAGACACTTTTAGTTTGATAGAGTCCCACTTGTTTTTGTTTTTTGATTTTGTTGATTGTGCTTTTTTGGTGTAAAATTGAAAAAATCAGTACCAAGTCTGATGTCAAAGAGCTTGTTCCCTGTGTTTCTTCTAAAAATTATACAGATTCTGGTTTTACATTGAAATGTTAATTTTTTTTCAGTTCATTTTTGTATATAGCATAAATGTTCAGTTTCATCTTTTTGCTCATGAATATCCATCTTTTCCAGCATCATTTATTGAAGAGACTGTACTTTTCCCTTTGTGTATCTTGGTGCCCTTGTCAAAGATTGCTAACTGTATACACATGGGTTTATTTTTGGTTTCCTTTTTCTGTCCCATTGGTCTATGTGTCTTTTTAGGTCAGTGTAATTCTCACGGTTAGTATAGCTTTGTAATAGTTTGGAATGAAGACATGTGATGCCTTCAGCTTTATTCTTCTTTCTTATGATTGTGTTGGCTATTTGGAGTCATTTGTGATTTTATAGAACTTTGAACGCCAGATGCAGTGACTCACACCTGTAACCCCAGCACTTTGGAAGACTAAAGCAGGTGGATCACTTGAGGCCAGGAGTTCAAGACCAGCCTGGCCAACATGGTGAAACCCCATCTCTACTAAAAATATAAAAATTAGCCAGGTGTGTGGTGGTGCATACCTGTAATGCCAGCTACTGGGAGGCTGAGGCAAGAGAATTGCTTGAACCCAGGAGGCAGAGGTTGCAGTGAGCCACAATCATGCCAGTGCACTCCAGCCTGGGCAACAGCAAGACTCTGTCTCAAAAACTATATTAAAAAAAATTTTTAGAATTTATTTATATTTCTTTGAAAACTGACACTGGAATTTTAATAGGGATTACATTGTATCTGTAGATCACTTTGTGTAATATAGACATTTTATTAATATTAATTTTTCCAGTCCATGAACAAGGAATATCTTTCCATTTATTTGTGTCTTTTTAAATTACATTCATCAGTGTCTCATAGATTTTACTGAGCAGATCTTTCACCTCCTTTGTTAAATAGAGTCATATGAATTTTATACTTTTTGATGCTATTATAAATTGGATTGTTAACTTTTTTTCTCAGATCATTTATTGTTAGTATATAGAAATGCAACTAATCTTTGCATGTTAATTTTGTGACCTCAACTTTACTGAATGGGTGTATTAGCTCTATCTCTTTTTGTGTACTCTTGAGGGTTTTCTATATGTAAAATCACCTAGTTTGCAAGCAGAGAGAATTTTAATTCTTCATTGCTGATGTAAGTACCTTTTATTTCTTTTTCTTAATTGCTTTTCTTGCAGGGCAGGTAAGCCTCCAAATTGGGGCTTATCCTGGCAAGGTTCATGGCTTCACTCAGGAAGAATTGAAGCACAAGCTAGTGGTAGAAGAAAGCAGCTTTATTGAGCTGGCGGTGTTGCAGCTCTGTGACTGCTCCTGTGGAACAAGGCTCCCCTGTAGGCAGTGTGCTGAGAGGAGCAGTTCTGCAGCCGTGTACTTACATGCCCACTTTTCCTTACATGCAAACTAAGGGGCAGTGGCAGTGTTTTTTCCCTTCAGTTATTTAGAAGAATTTGAGAAGGATTGACATTAATTCATCTTTAAATGTGTGATACATGTCACCCATGAAGTCATTTGGTCATGGACTTTTTCTCATTGGATTTTTTTTTTATTACTGCTTCAATCTCCTTTCTTATTACTGGTCAGTTCAGTATTTCTATTTCTTCATGATTTAATCTTGGTCAGTCATTGATTTCTAAGAATCTATTTCTTCTAAGTTATCTGATTTGTTATCCTGTAATTGTTCATAGCAGTCTCTTATTATTCTTTGTGTGGTATCAGTTGTAGTGACTCATCTTTTATTTATTTATTTATTTATTTCTGATGGCCAGGCCAAAGAGCAGTGGCATGATCATGACTCACTGCGGCCTCAACCTCCTGGGTTCAGTGATTCTCCCACCTCCCAAGTAGCCAGGACCACAGGTGCATACCACCATGCTCAGCTAATTTTTGTAATTTTTGGAGAGAGGGGTTTTACCATGTTGCCCAGGCTGGTCTCCAACTTGTGGGCTCAAGTGATTTACCCACCATGGCCTCCCAAAGTGCTGGGATTATAAGCATGAGCAAGCGTACCTGGCCATTTGTAATTTTTTGAGTCCTCTCTTTGTTCCTCTGCTTAATCTGGCCAAAAGTTTCTCAATTTTGTTTTCTTTAAAAAACTCCATTCAGTTTCTTTGATCTTTTCTGTTGTCTTTCTAGTCTCTATTTAGTCTCTTTTTATTCTAATTCTTATTATTTCCATAATCATGCTAACATTGAGATTATTTTATTTTTCTTGTTCAAGATTCTTGAGGATTACAGTTAGAGTGCTTATTCAACACTTTTTTTTTCCCTTACTGTATGACTTTATTATTATAAACTTCTCTATTAGAACTGTTTTTGTTGCATCCCAGAAGTTTTGGTTTCTTGTGTTGCCAATTTCATTTGTCTCAGGATACGCTTGATTTTTCTTTTGATTTCTTCTTTAACCCGTTGATTTTTCAGGAGTGTGTTGTTTAATAGTCACATATTTGTGAGTTTCCAGTTTTGTTCCTGCTATTGATTTTCAGTTTTATATCAGTGCAATCAGAAAAAATAATTGATAGAATTTTATTTTTTTTGAATTTGAAAATATGCACCGTTTTTTACTTTTGGTTTAACATGTGCTCTGTCCTGGAGAATGTTTCGTGTATTCTCAGAAGAATGTGTATTTTCATATTGTTGGATGGGATATTATATGTATATTTAGTCTGTAATGTTATAGGAGTGCACTGTTTTCTTTATTTTGTGCTTGAATGAGGTATCCGTTTTAAGGAGGGTACTAACATTGTCTTTTATTGTATTTCTTTATATTTCTCCTTCCAGTTCTGTTAATGTTTGCTTTTTATAATTAGGTATTCCAGTGTTGGGTGCATATATCTATTTAATTTTTCTATCCTCTGGGCAAATTAACCTCTCTATTATTATATAATTAACTCCTTTGTCTCTTGTGACAGGTTTTGTCTGACAGTCTGTTTTGTCTAATGAAAGTATGACTACCCCTGCCTGCACTCTCTTTTGTTTTTTATCATATGTATGGAATATTCCTTCCAGTTCTTTCCCTTTTAGCCTGTGTTTGTCTTTAAATCAAAACTGAGTCTTTTTTAAGCAACCTATCACTCAATTTTTCAAAATTCATTCAGCCACTCTGTCTGTTTTAAATCTGTCCCACTATATCAGAATATCACAGGGTATTTTATAAGGAAATGGGTGATTTATAAGGGATACGAATTAATTTAGCTTATGATTCTGGAGGCAGGGAAGGCAGAGAGCATGACACTGGCATCAGGTAAAGACCTTTTTCTGCATAATAACAAGGCCAAAGGCATGACGGGGAGAGAGCTGTCTTCTGTAACAAACACACACTGTGATAACTAACCCACTGATGTGATAAGGACATTAATACATTCATGCAGGCAGAGATGTGATAAGGACATTAATACATTCATGCAGGCAGAAGTCTTATGGCTTAATCACTTCTTAAAAGTCCCACTTCTTAATTCTATCACAATTGCTATTAAATTTTAAGCTAAAGTTTGGAAGTGACATTCAGCCCATATCGGTGTCTGTTTATTGGATAATTTAATCTCTTTTTATGTAATTATTGATAGGTAACTATTATAATTTTGTTTTCTATTTTATACTTCATTTGTTTCTTTTTCCCTCTCATGCTGTCTTTCCTTTGGTTTTGTTAATTTTTTGTCTTGTTTTTGTATACTTTGATTACTTTCTCTTTTCCTTGTATCAACTAGTTTTTTTTCCCATAGTGGTTATAAGACTTACATAAGACATCATGTAATAGTCTAGTTTAAGATGATAATAATTCAACTTTTATTCATAGAAAAACTCTATAATTTTCCTTCCCTTCATACATTTTATACTATATATATCACACCTTAAAACTTTTTATATTGTGTATTCATTACAAATTATACTTTTTAAGTAAAAAGTAGCTATACTTTTTAAAACTACTTTTGTTTTATAGTTCTTATACTAGAATTAAAAGTGATTTCTGTGCCGCCATTACAGTATCAGTGATGTTTGTAGTTTTAATTTTTTCATATTTAGTTAGCA